CAATAGATACAAACTCAGGGTTAACTGAACAAAACTCAATTGCAACAAATACAACTTCAGCAACAGAGTGGTCAATGCCTGGAATACTCTACCTGACTCTCTGGTTTCTTCCACTAACCCCAAACACTTTAACTTCAGATTGTCTACTATTGACCTCACCCCATTCCTAAGAGGTCTGTAAGAAGTGTGCATAAGCACACCAATGTGCCTACCATCCCTGTCTTAATGTTCCCTTTTATTTGTATCTATTTCATGTATTAATAATCATGTTTATACTTATATATATTATCAAATGCATGCTAGACAAAATAAATAAATAAAAATAAAATAAATAATTGAATAGATGGATGGATGGACGGATAGACAGACAGACATAAAATCACCATCTTCATCTTTTAACAACCCCATAATCCCTTGCAGGTTGGAATCTGGGCAACTGAATAGAACTAGCAGAGTGTTTAGTGGCTGGATGCCCTTACTGTCGCCATAGATAGATATAAAATGATACCAAAGAAATAAAGGGAAGAAAAACTTTAGTTTTGCAGTTACTACATCAGTGATCTTTTTTTTTTTAAAGGAAATCAGGATAGAATTTTGTCTGTTTGTGTGTTTTAATGAATAGTGTACAAAAGCAATAGCTTTTCTACTATGATTTTTTTTTTTTGCCTCAGACGCACTCTCCCTGTCCAGAAAACCACAATGAAGATGGTGGCAACTGCAAGGCCAGGTGGTTGGCAGGAGGCATTCTTTCTTGGAAGGCCTTGTGCGGACTGACTTGGGTTTCGGATGACTCATATGAGCAGTCATCTTCACCCATGAAAAAATAATGGAAGTTAAATGGCTTGGCTACATGTTCAAAGAATTCTTACGTTGGTGATTCTCGAGTACTGATCACTTACACTGATCAAAGACACCCTTGTTCTTATGGAAATACAGTTCTTGCTAAAGCTGAGAGCAATCTTTTTCAGTCCCAAGAATAAGACTAATACTTCATCGCTGAGAATATCCAGATGCCTGATAACTTATTTTCTGCAAAAATATTTATCATGTCCTTTCAATTAGTCAAAGCAATATACAAACTCTTATCTAAGGCCAAAGTAAAATAATCCCCAGAGACATCACAGGTGCACATTCCTATACTACATTGCAAAAGATGATTTATTTACTATTTTTAAAAAGATGGGGGAACATGAGAAACCATTAAATACCTATTGGGTATGCTGGTTTCTTTATTTCTTATTCTTAATTTCCTAGTTTTCCTTTAACAGAACTATCTGGCAGCAGTTCAGCTGTAACTCTTTCAACCAATCATACTAATAGAAATCTGCATCTGAAAGCACACAGATTTGATATCAAATATAAGCAAACAACACCCAATGAGCTTTACAACTTTTGCAAATTACACCTATCACAGCACTTGAAGAAATGATCCATTCTTTCAGATTTCCATTCTTCTGCTAGAATTAGAATGCCTGACTTAAAGGGAGAAAGGAGTCAGATTTAGTCATTCTCTGAACGAGTCTGCGATAGTGCACTTACCTATAGATATTTTTGTATATTACTTTACATTAAATACAGAATATCAATGTGTCATAAAGTAAAGGAAGTTTGAAAAGCATATCAGTCCCAAGAAAGGCTAATATTGATAAAGAGTGGCACTAATAACCTTGCCCGCTCAGGGGGAGAAAAAAAGTGAAAAGAAGCTGGCAGATTTTTTGATCCTCAAGAAGAATACTTTTTAAATAATTCTTAAAGATTTTCATTGTAATGATGCACTATGTGAAAAAAGTACTCACTCCCATCAATTCTGCTTTAAATATATTTAATTTCAGTGAAATATTTTAAACGATGCAAGAGAAGAAGAAAAACTCAACTGTGCCTATTTTCAGTGCTCTGGGTGTTTTTTTCTGTCGCTCTCTCCTGTCTCCCATTTCCCTTTTTCATTTTGAAAATAAACTTTATACTAAAATAAACCAATAAACTACATTTTGAAAATTACTTTATATTCCAATAATGAGGAATAAAGAAAACTAATTCATCCAAATATTTTCTGCTGTTTAATTGAAATCATAAAACTATAATACTGTGATCTTTTCTTCTTAGCTGGAATAATTTGTAATTCTTGTTTCTTCTATAATAGATAGCTAATTACATTTCTCATTATAACAGAGTCTAAGAACAACCTGATATACATTCAAGAAAAGATAATTCTAGTGATCCTTACAGTGATGTCAGAATGAGTTTGCTGTAGATGTAATTACTTGGAGAAAGCTCTCAAACATACACATGCATATACTGTAGCAAACCTCAACTTTATTTTATCTCTTTGTCAAAAATTCTAAAACTATACAAGAATTAAGAAAAAAAATTAAAGAATAACTTAATCTGTAAGGTCTCTGAATTTCAATAAAATTTTGATTTAATTGATCTTCATTTAACTGACTTCAGATGCAATGGACAAATCATCTTTCTGAATACAACCATGAAAAAATGGACAAGTCTCTTGCCTATGAAGAAATCCAGACCAGCCATTTAAATTTACTTTTAGTTGAATGAGGTTTACATCGTTTGCACCTATTTATGTCATTTCTGCACAGATGTCATAATTTGCCTGAGGTGAATTGCCTCAAAAAGCATACGTTTGTGTTTCACTCCCGATGAATGGTCCATTAAATCAAGGTGTTACTATACTATAATTCTCCATTCAATGTAAATGTCACTTTCCTTTCTCCAAGAAAAGAACAAAAATGAAACAAAAAGATCTACACAGAAGATCCTACACAGTAAGGCATTAAAACTTCAGAGCAGAAAACAATATTTTAACTTCTTTACACGAACCTCTGTGGTTAAAAAAAAAAGTATTAAAACATCTGCAACTTTTGTACAATGTTTGAAGTTTGGAAGCAAGAGTAATATTTAAAAATTAAATAACTAGATGCACAGGATTAGAGATTTTGAAGCAGTAAGAGACTCTATAGATGAATCCAGCAATAATCTTCTCGCCTAAAAAACATGGCATTGAATTTTAGCATGCACTTCCTTTCCTAAACTTCTTAATTTTCCAAATGAATGCTTGGACTGATTCCAGAAAAATACTTTTTCCCTTTTCTTTTTGAAGTCTTTTAAAATATGCAAACATAATGCCTTAGTCTCTTTCCTTTTATGCTTATAAAAAGAAATTAAATGTTATCTTTTCTTTCATTTATGTGTACTCTGCCTTTGAACTCTAATGTATTACCTATCCTGAAGCATCTTTTACACACACAGCTAGTTGGCAGTGAGTGCCACAGCTGACGGGAAGGGCTGTCCCATGACTTACAAGTGAGTAAAGCCTGCCTCTTCCTGCCCCATCAAAGTCACCATAAAAAAACATGAAACAGAACTCTAGCTCTTTTGCCTGATGTGACTTAATGTACAGGTCACGTACCTCTTAATCAATTTGGCAGCCAATGAAGAGACTGATTTAGGCACTGTGGAGAAGCTTTAAAATGGCCGTGTGGGGAGAACCTTAGCCTATTAATAGAAGACACTACAGCAGTTCGTTTAGGGATGCTCAAGTTGCAACGGCACTGAAAAAAATGAATTATGACCATTTTTCACACTTACAACTGTCACAGCATCTCTATGGCCATGTGATCAAAATTCAAATGCTTGGAACTGACTCATATTTATAACAGCTGCCACATCTGCAGCATCCTGGGGTCATGTGATCTACCTTTTGAGACCTTCTGACAAGCAAATTCAATTGGGAAGCCACATTCACTTAACAATTGTGTTGCTAACTTAACAACTGCAGTAATTCATTTAACAATTGTGTCAGGAAAGGTCATAAAATGGGGCAAAACTCACTTAACAAATGTCTCACTTAACAATGGATATTTTGGGTTCAATTGTGGTCATAAATCAAGGATTACTGGTATAAAGGTGGGAGTCAGTAAATCTGGTTAATTCCCAAAATACAGAGATCTAATCTGGTAACCAAATGCTCATCAACTGCAAGAAAAAGAAAAGCCATTTATAAGGACCATTTATAAATTAATGAAATTGATCAAAATTAAATTGGAAAGCTGGGAAGAAAAGGGAGGTGTAAAAAAATACATCAAAAGGAATAAAAAGAAAACTGTCTCTTTATTCATTGATTCTGCAAAACATTATGCTAAATCTTGTTTTTTGTTAGAGCTGAGTACCCCTTACTTTTCAAGATTAGTTGCAACATCTAGTTTTAGTTGCAACATCTAGACCATTTGATGATAGAAATTTGAGGTTTCAATACTGTGGCAATAACCAGTTGCAAGACAATTGCTAGCAAGATGTGAATATTTGTTATTAAATGCAAATTAATAAATGTTCCTAATCATATTTTTATATAATCTACTTTTATTTGTGTACTAGTGTGCTTTTGTTAACACAGATGTGGATTATGTTGATTTAACATGGCCTCATTGATCCAATCATAACACAATCCTTTGATGCATAAGACAACTTTTCAAGCTATCAAGTGTTTCATTATTTTGTTCCAAGTACAAATGTTAACTTCTAAATAATTTTACATTCATAACCTTTTATTGTACCATTTCTATTTTTCTATTTTTTTTAAAAAAAATAGTTTTACTTTATTTTTATTACATCCCAGTTTCTTTCAGCAAAGTCTGGTTATTTTCATTTTTTTTTAACCTTTTATACTTTTTCTCTCTCTTCTTCAATTTTGCAAAAAAAAAAAAAGAAAAGTTAATGCAGTCTCCCCACCCCACCCAACCCCTGGTTAGGTCAGTAAGGTAAACTTTTTCTATAAAGGAGCTGAGACTTTATTATTGTACTGAATCTTCAAAAGCATTTGGACGAACGATTTACACAGAACCATATTTTTTCTAAAACCCTGTCGTATCAAGTTGGCTGTTCTATTTCATTTGCCTACTACCGTGATACATTTTGCTATTTCTTTTCATCAAGCGGGGATATATAATGTATTTATGAGAAAACACAGGCAATAAGAAATGTACCTTTCCAGCTCAGCAATTTTCTTATCTTTGTCATTTTTTTCATTCTCTACTTCTTTGAGGATTTCTAAGAGCCTCTCCACCTCGGCTTGGGTTTTGCCACATTCCTCTCTATAGTAGGCAGCCTCTTTGTCGAGCTGCTTCAATCGATCAGCAAATTCAGGATTCTTCCGAGCTTCTTCCTCAGCCTCATGAGCCTGTTAAATTAAAAAATAAATCAATCACTAGCCTTTCCCCCTAGTTTATAGTGCTATTCTGTGAGTTGGTGGCCCTTTCTTGCTATTGGGCAAAAACTATTTTCCTTCAATATCCCATTATTTGGAGCAGGGGAGGTGAAGCCATAATTCTAAGTACTAGAAAGATTTTTTTTTCCTGGAAAATAACATTGAACAAGTTAACTTAAGCCTATACCTGATATGGTTTGATTTAATAACTACTTTAAGCAAATCTTGAACAACTTAATGTAAGTTATTTATTTCAGACAAGATGTGAATGCCTCAAACCAATAGTTTTACCCCCAAATCCCCCTTTTCCTCCCTTATTTTATTTCATTCTGCCAATACTTAACCTGAAACATAAGGAGAAAGAAGCCCCTCATGGAACAGCACAAATAAACGGACCTGGCAAACACATGCATGAGTGGCTGGTCAGTTCACAAACAAGAAAGAATGCAATGAACACAACAGAAAAGAAAAGTGCAAAGCCCAGTCTTGTTCCCATTAAAGCTAATGGCAAAACCTCATTAATGTCACTGAGAGCATGAATGGGCCAAAAGAGTTTAAAACATTACACTGAAATAATCACACACAGATGTAAACAAGAATGCACTGCAATGCTTAGCCTACCCCTTGTTTCCCATTATTCCTAATTGGCATCTTCAAAGAGCAGGCAGAGAGAAAACAAGTAGTTTAACTGCAGTGCACATTAAAGACACAATTCAAAGAACAGTTTTTCAATGTACACAAATACATTTTAAAGGTTTGAGGATACTCTGAAAGACTGCATATCCTGCTGCTAGCTAATAATACAGTACAGTAATAATACAGTACAAGTCTCGGTGTTGGTTCTATTCCTTGCACATTTAATATTTCAGAAAATAAACTAGCAAGAAAACAGTGACAGGCTAAATGAAGCTTACATTTCAGATAAAAGATTACATTGATATCTACTTCTTGAAGGTTTACATGCTTTGAAGTGACTTTTTTTTCCAGTTTTGAACAACTGTTGAGTTTCAGGAAAATATGAAATAATGTACAAAAGTTATTAATGAATTAATGGTCAGGGCAGTTTATCTGCATGTAACATATTAGTCAAGCATGAGGATAATCAAGACAGGTTTAGTCTGAGTGGATCTCTTATTCTCAAACAAACTTCTAGGGCCATTTCAAAAGTGGTGAGTTTCCTTACATAGACATATTTTTAAAATCTAAACAAATCATAAGTGCACCATTTATCCACAAAGAAATTGAGCTGTATGACATTTGTTGCCTATATTTAATTTTTTTAATATACAATATACTTTTTAAATGGAAAAGTTAGAAATACAAGGAATTTGCCATGATTGAAAAAGCTTAAGATTAAACACGAAGGGAATAATTTTCTCCATAAATCAAATATAACTTACACCATTTACAAAATACACAGTTACCAAGTATTCCTGTGTGCTACCTCCATTCATTTCAGTGGAAACTTGTTAAAAACCAAAATAAGTATGCCCTAATATTAAAATGTGAATTGTGACTTCTGAAATTGCATCTTGGATAGTCTAATAGAGAGTGCCTTAGAACTTGAAGGCTTATCTAACTAGAATCTCCTCTAGGAATCCTAAAATTACAAATTCAATAATGCTATATCTATTATAGGGTAAACAGTAGAAAACAACATAAATTAATTTGTTGTGGTATAATACGACTTGTGGGATATATCTCTCTACTTAGTGAAACAATAATTGAATAGAATTATGGAAGACTTGGTTGAAAGTTATTTGAGAACACAATGAATAAATCATGACACTTCTGCACCTTAATAATTCATGCTAGATTTGGGGTATAATTTCAAGGGATCTTGAGGATATGAGATTAAAAATATATTTATGCTCTATGCCGAGTTGATTTAAAGAAGTCATTACACTTGCCATTTGGCAAATAAAACAAAAGTATTATTTTTAGAATTTAGAAGATTTTTTTTAAATAGCTGAGTTTAGCAGATATTGGCAAATGTTTGTTCCATTTCCTACACTTTCTACAGAGGGTAAAAATGTGAAGGCTTATGTGATCCATTTCAAATAACAAATAGATGTAGAATAACAAAGATGAATGTTTTTGTAGAAGAATGAACCACAACCTTTGGTGAATAATATTTTTCTTTGGTTTTTCCAGTAAAAATCTTCATTCAATGCAATATTGAAAAGAAACAAGATGGAAACATATTGTAGATTGTGGGGAGGATTTCAGACAGGACAAATGCTGACCCCCTCCCCAAAAGTTTGTGATCTAAACAACAGATTTTCTGGCAACAGTGGCTGGCGTTTTCAGAGGAACCGTGGTCTACAATCTGCTATCTAGACCACATTCACTAAACTTTAAATCCCAACAGCACCCAATTATAGTTAATGTTAGAAATATAATGATCTGCCAAGGCATTCAGGAGTAACGAAATCACAGTACTCTGTCTTTCCTATTTTCAGCAATCAGCAGGATAACTGAGGCCATCTGCCTCAGTTACCTTTAGATGTCCTTTAGATTACCTTTAGATTACCTTTGTATGGGTTTTTGTACATTAGTTGCATCTAAGGTCTGGTTCATATTCTATGTCCCCCATACTGCCCATCTCATGTATATGCTATAGATATCAGTGCTGCACACTGAAAACAAAAACAAAAAGGAGCATGGGAAGGCCTAATTATGAGTGTACTCCAATATCTATCACATAGAACTAGAATGTTCATACTGAGCAAGTCACCAGGAAAAGTCACTCAAGATAACAAAAATAGACTCTAGATAATCTATGGATAGGATAGCAATATGTACAATAACTCTACTCTTAAAAAATTGTTTCTTATATCCCATTCAGCTTCATGGCATTAAAATATATTTTCTTAAATTCTAAAAAATTCTACAATGTATTAAGGATAGGGATCATACTAGTAACTATAAACAGTTTATTCATATTCGGTTGCTTGGAAATTCCAAGAGAGGAGATCATAACTTTCATCTTTTTTATCCTTTTCATCCTTTATTATCCACTCATTCATATTCAAAGTCCATCCAAAAGATAAAGAAGCTACCTGCAGACCTCTTCATACTGTTCATTCAATTTCTATCTACTGATCTTTATTGTTTAATAGTACATTCAGTAGACAAAGTTAAGGATTAAAATATATCTACATTGAGAAAGGACTACAAGATCTGTAACACTCGTAACAATCTTCTTCCCATTCTATATTCCTATGAACATTTCAGATCAGAAAATGTAATAATGATGTCCACCAATTATGTGGTTCACATTTAGTTGGTCTATATTGAAGACCCCTTCATTTTTTCTGCTTGAGAGCAGAAACCCAGATATACATCTGGGGTTCAATGGGTAAGCTCAAAGAACTATACAACTGCATACTCAGGGGTAGGTACATAGTTGCTTCAGCCTTTCAGGCCTTCAAGGCCAAGCAACATTTAGGGTATATTTTAGGTCAACTGTCTCTGCTAGTCTTGATGGATTGCAGCAGTAACATAGTTTAGCTGTTTTGGGATCATATCCAGGATAAGCTTAAAGAAAAGGAGATCCATCTATTATTTATACAGTCATAATTACACTCACGCAGTTTGATTGTCTCCAAATATTTATAGAAAGCTGAATGAATTATAAATTAACTTTTAAAAACTGCCAGAGTATGAGACTTATATTGTGTGGCATATCCATGTGACAGTTTATGAACTGTCGACTAGTTTTCAGGCTTCTGCCTACCCACAGAGAGAGAAGGGACTGAATTTGGAAGGAAGGGTAGAGAAACCTAATCAGGTTTTGTGAAGAAACCAATAATATTATTTTTTCTTGTTATTCAAATTATTATACACAGCAATATTACTTTATTGTAATGAATGTAAAAAGTGAAAAAGTATACATTATTTATTATCATGTTATATATGCATCATTTATTCTTCCAACATCAACATATAAGCATAAGAACAATACATGTTTATTTAGAAGAGCCAAAATATGAGTATGATTAATAAATGAGACAGCAGAAAGATGCATGCAAGAAAATACCTTAGATCCTTCAAATTGGATTTAACAACACCATGCCATCAGAGATGGTTCAATTCCAGTTATTAGTTAATAGCTTAATGGGATTGATTGGAAGCTATAATTTAGAACTGTCCTCTAAGCTGACTTTAAACATTGTTTGCTGCTTACCATTGTTTCTGAGAACATTTAGTTGCACAGAATCCAATAAGGATAGTGTTCCTTAATAAAGAAAACAAAAACATTTTCTACCAAATACAGATAACAGTAGGACAAAGTGGAAGTTTCAAAAATATGATCTTTTAGCAAAACATTAGAATCCACAAACTATTTAAGACAGAAATTATAACCAAATTAGGTTAGCAGATCAGGGAATGGCTATTTTATTTGGTGTGTTTTCATAAAAACAATTGCTATAAACTGAAAAGCATTATGTAACTATTCTATCTTGTCTTCTTTAATGGAATTCCTCTGGCAAGCAAAAAGGCTGAGGCAATGGGATTCAAATAGTAGAAAATACCATTGGGATTGAACTTAGAATATATAGACCAGATGAAGTTTCACAAGAAGGCCCTTCTTCATGATCCCACTAGATTGATCCTAACCGTCAAGAGAGAAGACCCATCGCATTCCCTGCCTCCCCGCTCTGGTAGGACAGATAGAAGTGATGCAAAAAGTGCATTACATCTACCTGACCTACAAGACATTCAGATAACCTGGTCCCAAGCCATGTAGGACTTTGAAGTAAGAACCAGCACCTTGAATTTGATCTGGAAGCAAACTAGCAGCTAATGCAGGCCCTGTAGAAGATATGTGCACAGCTACACCAGCACACAATCATGCAGGCCACTGCATTTTTGGACCAACTAAGGTTGGAAAGCAGAGGGAAGTATGAGAGAGATATTGGGCACACAAAAGCACAGATCCTGACTATGTAGGGCTCTTATCCACCAACACAATCAATGATCTAAAGATACCTTCCAGGGTCACAGAATATATAAGGCTTTCTGCTTTTATTACTTTTCAAAGAAACATAAATGCTTATTATAAATCCACCAAAAATCAAATATGTTCTTTAATATTTTCAAGTGCCTCCAAATGTCATCTTTCAGAAAATTAGCTTGTTTGTTTACTAAAAGACAAGAAACATCACAATAATAAAAGAGAATTATAGTTGTCCAGAAGCAATAATAAAAACCATCCTTCTCACACAACATAGTATCCGAAGGGGCTTAATAACTAATAAGGCCTGAGGGAAGGTGCAGGTTTTCAAGGCTCATTTAAAGTGCAGAAGAGCAGTCTAACTTCTTGTACTTATTCAACTTAAAGACATTGTCCAACTGCAATCAACTCTGGGTCACTCACAATTGAAATCTCTGAGGGAATGTTGTTCCAGAGGGCAGGTGCTATGCTAGAGAAGACACGCTTTATGGGTCTTGCTAGAGGATATTGTTTAATTGATGGGAACTGGAAAACTCTGCCTGATCATATAGGATGGGCAGAAACCTTGGAAGACACACAGTTCCTCGGATATTTAGGCATGATGCTATGTAGGCTTTATAGCCAGCAACTTCAATTGCATAAAGAAGTCTGCTGTTATTATTAAGAATAACAATCCAGTGCAACTTGTTGATCAGAGATGTTATATGGATATTATGACACCTGCCCATAACTGTTCACACTACTACATTCTGGGCTAAGAGCAATTTCTCAGCAATATTTGAGAAAATCCTATATAAACCGCACTGCAACAGTTCATGTATAAGGTTTCCAGAATAGTTAACAGAATCTCATTGTAGAACTGATGTTTCAAATCACTGGTTAGGAAATTATTGAAAAGACAGCATAATGCTCTGGAAAAAAAAGTCTCAATTTTAAGTAAAATTATTTTGCCTTGAGGTAGGATGTTGGACTTGATTACTTCTGGATTATATCATTTCAAAACAGTATATTGTAATCACTTGTGGAAATCTGAAAAGTTGCATTAGGTTAAGAATATCCTGACTAAGAACTTGTCTAAAAACAATGTACTTGATTAGTCATCTCATTGCTCACCTTTTGCTATGGCAGCTTCCTGAGCCAAACTACACTTTTTTAGCCATAGAACTGCTAGTGGAAAATGTCAAGTTCTGGTTTTACACTCAGAAAATCAAATAGTGGCATGCAGCCTCTCAGCCGGGAGCGGCTCACTCATGTCTATGTCACATTGAACCTTGTTTCATAGCGATACTAATCCAGTATAATCAGTGGTGAGATTCAAAAAAATTTCCTACCAGTTCTGTGGCTTGGTGGGCGTGACAGAGGAAGGATACTGTAAAATCTCCAGAGGTGGATTTGCGGGTTCTCTGAACTACTCAAAATTTCTGCCTCCGGTTCTCCAGAACTGGTCAGAACCTGCTGAATACCACCTCTGAGTATAATTGAACTTAAATCAGTATAGTATTTTTGGAAGGATTTAAAGCAAAATAGGGGGATGAGGAACTGTGAACAGTTTCTAAAATATAAGCTCCACTAGAAGAAACATTTATGTCATTTCTTCCCATCACCCTCTACTCACAGGAACTCTAAAGGGAACCTTATATGTAGTTCAAACAATCTTTCAGATTCTTAAGGGGATATTTATGTATTTATGCTCTGAATCACACTAGGATTTTTTGTCAGAAACAGTAGGCAGGATGAACCTCACTAAATGCCTTTCTATAAGCCATATATTACATATCTTTTTATACTGGGGTCATGTGTATGATACATCTTTTTCACTTTCATAGTAGCTCCAGATAGATTTCATATTTTAGGTAAAATGATGGAAATCTTTTAAAAATAAAATGGGCCTTCAGATGAGGAGTAATTTTAAGCCTTGTTGTTTATAAACATCCCAGTTCAGAGAGTAGTCCTAGATGAAAAATGACCTCTTGTCTATCTTCTGGGGGCAACCACACCCATTTGCCATTCATCAAAGTTTATCTTGGTAAAAATCCACTTTCTGTTGAAAAGAAATCATATTTCATTGATAATTTATCTCCAGCTTAAGCCTGGAATATTTGAAGTGACTAAAAACAGCTGACCCACCCAATCAGCATATCTGGTAGCCCATTCCTGGGAATAGTTAGATGAGTTTCCAAGAAACTTAGTGGGATGTTGGCCCTAGCCTTTTGTGGTTGCTCAGTGACTCCAAATTAGCTCTGTGTTTTATTCCTCTTCTCTGCCAGGCTGGGTGCTTCCCAAAACATTGGAATGGGACAAATAGCCACAGCTAACTTGCTGAGGCCAACCATGGCTAACTTGCTATAGGAAAATTTAACAATTCTATTTAATTATTTAAAATAAACAAAAATGTTTTAATTTTTGCTGTTCACATTTTATTGTGTCTCTCCTTTTGCATCCTTTCTTTAATGATTCTATTCCACTATTTCTTTGATTCTTATATTAGTATAACTTTTGTCCAGCAGCGAGTTGTCCTGCAACTAGTTGGCTGCAGCAAGTTGGCCACGGCGAATTGTCATAGATCCTCCCAACATCTATCACAATAACATTAATAAGGCATTGATAAGAAGACAGACAATTCATCAGTAGGGTTTTTTTTTAAGTTGCTGAATACATAAATGTAAAACTTAAATGTCTAAAGAGAAACAAGATGGCATTTCTTTGGTTGAAATAGCCACTGTTATTTCATTCTCTCAACTACGTGCACTTCAGCAAAAGTCTTGCTGGCATGCTTATACTTGTGTTTTAAAAGAGTTCTGAAAGATTGTAAGGTTCTGAAGAAACATTTTGCCCGCTGCAGTAATGAGAGCTCTTTCAGGCCATATGAAAAGCACACCTGCTTATGTGGAATAGATCCAATCATTATCCCTTTTCTTATGTAATTTTTATAGAGATGCACATGTACATTTTACAACCCAATTCTGGCAAAATGCTTTGATAGATGCAAGCAAAGGTATTAAATACAAATAAAAGCAAAGTTATTAGAGAAACAATAAGTTTCTGACTTCTGCCATAAATCAGGGAGAAATCTGGTAACACCTTTTTTAACTAACAGATTTTATGAAAAGGCATCAGTTTGCATGAGTTGATGGCTTTTAATAATTTTTGTAGCTGGAAAATCAGACTCTTCCTGATTTAGGGCTACCATAAACTAACAAGACTTTCCTCCTACAAAATATAAGCAACATATAATGGCCTAAGTGATGCCCTTACCAGTACCATTTGATTGTATACACCTGCCTGTTTTATTATATTGTATTTGAAATCCATTTCTTTTATTTTTACTACCATTGTAGATACAGACTTTGCCATGGGTCTGTAACTATGGTCAAATGATTGAATTGAATTATATTACCAATGCTGGACACTAATCTTCCTTATATTTAAAACTCAACTACCTACTAACCAATGCATGTTATACAACATCACTTGCTCCAGGATAACGGCATTTATTAATATTTTTGAGAAATAGTGAATACCTTTCTAAAGTTTACATTTAATTTGAAGGATCTAATAAAGTATGCCATAAGCATAGCAGTAAAATAACAATAAAGCTTGGTATGTTCATGCTTTCTTACAATTAAGCAGTTGAGGGCTTGAAGGCCAGACAAAATTTGAATGCAATGTTTATTTGTCCAATTTTTAGTGAATTACATTTTTAAAAGAACATTGGCCTTAAAGTCCACAGAGCCTACTTAATTTAACACAATGCAAATGAAGCCATCATCGGTTTTGCAAAGCTCTAGAGAGGAAGAATAGAACAACATGATGGGTAAAATAGATCCTCATGCTTTCATATGTTACAGTGGAGACTTTCTGAAAGGACTTACGGGATTGTACATCTGATTGAACAATTGTTCAGCTTGCTACATTGCAAAGGTGGGGAGAATGAAGCACAGACAGGAAAAGAAGGAAAGATCCAGGAAAACAGTATTAGCTTAGCAAAATTGGCATATTTGCACAGAAGAACTTGGAATTTAAAAAAGGAGAAGAAATTTTAAGTTCCTAAGCATTCCTTACTGGATGCGAGAAGCTCTAGGGAAAAATAAATGTTGATTTTGGCTCACAGAAAAGAATGACTAGAATACAAAATCCAAAGATTGTGTTATTTTCCCTTTCTCAAATGAAATAATCCATGAAATAAAGAAAGCTGTCCACTGCTGATGATGCATTAAATACTGGTTTTTAGCAATGAATCATTAGAAGTGTTTTTGGTCAAGGCTGCAATTTATCATCAAAGGTTCAAAGATAAGAAAGATTAATTAGACTTTATTGTTAAATGTAGAGCTTTCTTTTCATATTAAGATAAAACTTAATTTCCATTTTATTTGAATATAGAATAGTGTATGGCTTAATTAGTATGGTAATAGTAATGGCCACATCTAAGAAGTGATGGAAAATTATAGCTGATAAATATAAAGGCAGTAATATAACATTGGAAACAGACATCTTCTGAAATAAACATCAACAAGGTTTTTTTTTTCATAATCTCCTATGCATATATCAACAGTGCTTTCACAGGTATGGTAGCACAGCCCAGTGCAAGGATCCATGGAGGGTCAAAAAAAAGTCAAGATGGAAGCCATGACTGTCATGACCCTTTTTGCGCATGTTACAGGTAAGGCTTTAATTGTGTGATTTCAGTCAGCTCTGTCACCCAAATTTCCTTTTTCAGCTCAGTAACTAACTTTGCATTAGAAACATTCTTCAGGATTCCCACTTCAACTTTCAGATCCATGCTTCAAACAGGAAAGGTAAAGCCTCAGAATTTGATGGGTCTTCCTTTCATAATGTTCTCCTAAGATTAATTCATGTTCCATTTGATGTATTCCTGGCTTCCCAAAATAAAAATATGGAACTAGCAGGGGCAAGAAGGGGGGAATTGCAAAATACATTTTTTATTTCTTATAATCATGATCATTTTTCCTTTTACAACAAGAAGCAACAGTTTAGCTTCCTAAATCTTTAATTTCTAATTTCCATTGCTCTCAGTTTTCATTGCTCGAAGAGAATTTTTTAAAAGGGATATATGTTAGGAATTAAAACATTTTGACTGTTGACATTATCATTAGAAACCAATTGCCCCAAATCAGTGATTTTCTTAAAATTGAAATGCCTGCATTTCAAGATTTCCTATGACCATTTTCTTCTAAATAATTACTTGAATTTAATGTAACCAAAGAAAATATAAATCAGAAATTATCATTTGTTGATAATTATTATTTGCAACCTTTGTTTTCTTTTAAACAATGTAGATATTTTTTAGCTTTAAGATACAATAACATGATGAAAGGGAGGGCCATTCTTACTTTTATTAAGTCTTCTCTTTTCATTCCGAAAAAACTCTGAAAAAAACCACTTCAAAAAAACAAAACAATCCCTGATCTATCTCTAGATTAAAGTTCTGTGGAGAAATGATGCTGCTGTAAACTAAAGCAATCAAAATGTTGCCAAAGTTGAATGAGGCAAAAAGGCTTGATAATTGTCCATTAATGGTCAACAAGTGGTCAGCTGTATCCAAATATGAACAGGGCTTCCGTGGAAAAAGGCCAATCTACTCACATTCCCCACTAACTATATCAATTATTAATAGTTTGATTGCTAATTTCACAAATTCCTGGTTTATTTCCAAAGCCACAGTTGGGACCTGAGCTGTAGACAACACTGGTTTAAATAAAAAAATAAAATTATACAAGAATTGATATTGAAATGGACAGTGGAATTGATATTGAAGTGGACTTTAAAATCATATTTAGTTTCCCAGAACTAGAATGGCATAATAGCAATAGCACTTAGACTTATATATCATTTCACAGTACAGCCCTCTAAATGGTTTACAGTCAGTAAATTTCCCCCAACAATTTGGGTCCTATTTTACTCACCTCAGAAGGATGGAAGGCTTAGTCAACCTTGATCCTGGTGAGATTTGAACTACCAAATTGCAGTCAGCCTGCAGTCAGCAGAAGTAGCCTGCAGTACTGCACTCTAACCATTGCACTACCATGGCTCATAATCTAGCATATTTTGTTTTTTAGTACACTATCTTAAACTGCAAAACATCAACTGCGGTATAAGGAGTAGAATATTATTTTATTTTGTAGATTAAGGCAAGATTACTCAGATGCCATGTACAATATGCATAAAATCTTAAATAGTATCTTTTTTAAAATTACTCACATTATATATTTCTTTCCAAGGTATCATGAAAGCCAGAAAACAGCCAAAGTTAAATATTAAATTCTCCTTCTTCAGTTAAAGAATTGTACCTTGATTAATTCATTGGCAACATGGCTATTTACAAAGTGTGAAAGGCAAACATAATACTTAAATCAAGAAATATGCCATGAGTAATCGTAACTGACATATGGATAATTCAGGTCTGATTGATAGTTAATATATTAATGTGATTCTAAAAATTATTTTGATAATTATTAGTTCAAATGTGATTAGATGTGCTAGACAACGTCCAATATTCAATTATGTATCAATAGTTCTTCCCCTTATGAACAAATCTAAAGTATTTCTAATAAAAATGTTCTTCTACTTTAAGCGTATAACAATCCTTTGATAACAATAAATGAGATTCAAACAGTTTAACTAACAAAAAAGACTTTTAGTGGAAAAATTGATAAAGTGTCATGTCAACATTTGAAATCATTAATACTTTGAGCTTGAAACTAACAGAAACTAGCATTTTTCACAACAAAAATCCCAGCATGCAACTATAAGAATCATTAATATTCAATCATGCTTACCTTTTGCAGTTGTGCTTCTAGCTTACTACACTCCTCCTTCTTTTGCTCTATGGCTATTTCTAAAGCCTTTAATTTGGAGTCTCTTTTCAGCCCTGCTGAAGCCAATGATGATGCATGTTCTTTGAGGTCGATTAAGCTCGACTAAAAAAAAAAGATATGGGAGACAAATTGAAAGTGGGGATTATCAAAAGATACTAAGTTGATTGCAACTGCTAGTAAACTTGGACTGTGACAGATACACACTGCTCAAAAAAAAATAAAGGGAACACTTAAACAACACAATGTAACTCCAAGTCAATCACACTTCTGTGAAATCAAACTGTACACTTAAGTAGGAACACTGATTGACAATCAATTTCACATGCTGTTGTGTAAATGGAATAGACAACAGGTGGAAAGCACAGGCAGTTAGCAAGACATCCCCAATAAAGGAGTGGTTCTGCAGGTGATGACCACAGACCATTTCTCAGTTCCTATGTGTTCTGGCTGATGGTTTGTTCACTTTTGAATGCTGGCGGTGCTTTCACTCTAGTGGTAGCATGAGACGGAGTCTACAACCCACACAAGTGGCTCAGATAGTGCAACTCATCCAGGATGGCACAACAATGCAAGCTGTGGCAGGAAGGTTTGCTGTGTCTGTCAGCGTAGTGTCCAGAGCATGGAGGCGCTACCAGGAGACAGGCCAGTACATCAGGAGACATGGAGGAGGCCGTAGGAGGGCAACAACCCAGCATCAGGACCACTACCTCCGCCTTTGTGCAAGGAGGGACAGGAGGTGCATTGCCAGAGCCCTGCAAAATGACTTCCAGCAGGCCACAAATGTGCCTGTGGCTGCTCAAACGGTCAGAAACAGACTCCATGAGGGTGGTATGAGGGCCCAACGTCCACAGGTGGGGGTTGTGCTTATAGCCCAACACCGTGCAGGACGTTTGGCATTTGCCAGAGAACACCAAGATTGGCAAATTCGCCACTGGCACCCTGTGCTCTTCACAGATGACAGCAGGTTCACATTGAGCACATGTGACAGATGTGACAGGGTCTGGAGACACTGTGGAGAATGTTCTGCTGCCTGCAACATCCTCCAGCATGACTGCTTTGGCAGTGGGTCTGTAATGGTGTTGGGTGGCATTTCTTTAGGGGGCCGCACAGCCCTCCATGTGCTCGCCAGAGGTAGCCTGACTGCCATTAGGTACTGAGATGAGATCCTCAGACCCCTTGTGAGACCATATGTTGGTGCGGTTGGCCCTGGGTTTCTCCTAATGCACAACAATGCTAGACCTCATGTGGCTGGAGTGTGTCAGCAGTTCCTGCAAGATGAAGGTATTGATGCTATGGACTGGCCCACCTGTTCCCCAGACCTGAATCCAATTGAGCACATCTGGGACATCATGGCTCGCTCCATCCACCAACGCCACGTTGCACCACAGACTGTCCAGAAGTTGGGGGATGCTTTAGTCCAGGTGTGGGAGGAGATCCCTCAGGAGACCATCCTCCACCTCATCAGGAGCATGCCCAGGCTCATGTAGGGAGGTCATACAGGCACATGGAGGCAACACACACTACTGAGCCTCATTTTGACTTGTTTTAAGGACATTACATCAAAGTTAGATCAACCTGTAGTGTTTTTTCCACTTTAATTTTGAGTGTAACGCCAAATCCAGACCTCCATGGGTTGCTAAATTTGATTTCCATTGATAATTTTTATGTGATTTTGTTGTCAGCACATTCAACTATGTAATGAACAAAGAATTTAATAAGAATATTTCATTCATTCAGATCTAGGATGTCTTATTTTTGTGTTCCCTTTATTTTTTTGAGCAGTGTAGTTTTCTGATGAGTAGTAGTGCCAATATCTCAGAATCTATTGGCTGAAAGCAAGAAGTCTACCTATGATGTGTTCACATGGAGGCATAACTTATAATCTTTGATTTTTTTATTAATCAAACAAAAGAAATAGAGCTTCAGTTTCACAATCAAAGCCACCATATAGACTTGTCGGATACTACTCTGTATGATCCTGGCTCACATTTCCTCATTCTGAGCTACCTAACTAATTAACCATCAACTAGGCCATGAAATAGAAGTGGAACCAAATACCTAGCTATGTTATTCTAGGATTCCTTAGAATCACATTTTTTTTCACGAAGGGTAACAATTATTCCCTCACCAAATATATTTAAGGTACAAGAATGAAGGTTCCCTATCATGGTGGAGAGAAGGGAAAAATAGATATGCAAAAGGAAGTTGGGTGGGTTAAAATGCACACTTCACATCTACTCAGTAACCTCTTCCTAAATTTTGAAACCAAAATGTAATTGATTCTGGTTTTCAGCAAAAAAACAAAAACAAACTTTGCCTCTTCATCTATGAGGATAGGATTCTACAACTAAAAAGACAATACTGACAAGATGTTTCATTCATTGCTATCTTTAGAAGTTGGTCTCTGTTAATAACGTCAAGGCTTAAATAGAAAAAAGTCATCTTTCAGAAACCATAGTCCAAAGAAAAAAGAAGGGTTTTGATTTGGACTAGCAAATGTTGCAAGGGCCAGTAGAGCAATATTACAAAATACTAGTATAAAATATAACTGCAGTATAAATTGAGACTAATTGCAAGACATGATTTTAATTAGCAATCTGACCTAATCAAAGCTTTTAGAACATCTTCAGAAACAGCCCCATGTATAAAGTTTTATAGTAAGCTAACCAGCATTAGTATGCAAGTTTCTAGAACCACAAGAAGAAATTATGGAATACAGTCATTGATTGTCTTGGCTCTTTTAAGACAGCTCTTAAACCTTTATCTCCTTTCCTTCATAGTCTTGTGCAATCTCTATAAAATCATATAATAATCGCATAAAAAGATAGTGAAAAGAAGTGGAAATCATCCCTATTTCTATTAGTAGAATCTATGTTAAATCCAGACTAATTGTGTTCCGGGAAGAACACATCCAGATCTCACCTGGATGTGGATAAAATAGCAGGGTTGTTCTGCTTCATCTAGGTTTGACAAATCTGCCACCAGGACATACCCATACAGCTTTCTCAGCATTGGTACAGAAAGCAAATTATTCTTCCAGATTATTTTTTCAACATTACAGTCTAGTCTATGGCTTTAGAATACCCATGGTCTCCCATTGGTGTCATCTCCGTATTTTATTGTTAGCTTTTGCTAGTACAACCAATGTTGGCTGGATTCTGCCATAGCCTATGACACTGTTTATAAACAGATGCGTAAAAATTGAAAGATTGCAAAATTACTTGGTTTGAAGTATGATAAATGGTCTTAATAAGCAACTTGTAACATTTATATTGCTTGTAAAAGTTTGATTCTTTATAACACATGGATCCCTACAATAAAATGTTTTATTAGTTGCAAATACTGACCTCTTTTTCCGTCAGCTCTGCTTGTAAAGCATTTACTTTTTCTTTCAGATCTTTGTTTTCTTTTTTGAAGGATTCAATTTCTTCGATTCTTTCACGGTCATCTCTCTCCCTCTGCTCCTTTAATCGCTCTATAATTCTCTCCTAAAAGCATAAAAATATGGCTATATTTTAAAACAGAAGCAGCAGCTTAAAAATTCTGTGAACTTTGTAAAGGAAGCTAAAAATCCACTACGTTACCTTTTTTTTTATTCTAGAAAAAAACATTTATTTGACATACATTTAAAATAGACAAATCAATATATGTGTGTGTGTGTGTGTGTGTGTGTGTGTGTGTGTGTGTGTATGGTATTCAGCTTTGTTCGGGTATTTTCCCACGTCATTATAGTAGTGCTTTTAAGGTTGTAGCAATGTTTCGGCAGAATCTCATCTGCCATCATCAGGCTTCTGTATTGTGTTCGTCTGGGAGTCAGACTTTTACAGTTGTTTCAGTTTTAAATTTGGGGCTAGCCTACTGCTGTGCCAGAATGGTTTTTTCTTTATCCTGATTGGTTGGGAGTCTTGGTCTGTGTTTATTGGTCTTGGAGTTTGCTGTGTTCTGCTTGATTGGTGTTTCTAATATCTTCTTTGTTTTGTAGCTTTTTTGTGTCTTGATTGGCTGGCAACATTGTGTTCCTGCATTGGAGGCTTTTAGTGCAGCTTGGCTCC